CGGCCGGGCCCGCTGCGGCTGCCGGGCCGTGCTGAGGGACGCGCCCGCCCCGCGCCCGCCCCGCGCCCGCCCCGCGCCCGCCCCGCGCCGCCCCGCGCCCGCCCCGCGCCCGCCCCGCGCCGCCCCGCGCCCGCCCCGCGCCCGCCCCGCGCCGCCCCGCGCCCGCCCCGCGCCCGCCCCGCGCCGCCCCGCGCCGCCCCGCGCCGCCCGCGGGATGCCCCGCACGGGCAGGGCTGAAGATGAAGCCTAGCCATGTTACTTTTCACGTTAGGCTCTGGCCAGCGGCATAGTTCTCTGCTAAAACTGATTTTGCGAAGTGGCAGAGGCCCTACTAGACTGCTAGGGAAGATCTATGGGAGACTTGGCACAAGAAAAAAGGATATTAAATATACATATGCAAATACAGCAGTGAGAGAAAGACACAAAATCAGAGATTAATACTTCCTGTCCCAGTGTATATTTCATTCATCTACAGCATGTTTTTCTAGGAAGAACGTCGGCCAGGCCATCACTCTCTCTACTTCTTCCTGTCTCCCCAAATCATCAGCATTAGAAAACAGGGAGTCTGATTCATTTGAATCAAGTCTCCCACTTTACTGCCTCAGTGCAGTCTGCTTTTATTTCAAAGAGAAAAGAGTAGCAATAAATTGTATTAATATTTCCTTGGGAAACCATGCTTTGTTCTTTACAATATTTACTATTTAAAATGTGGTCTTTTTTTTGTTAAACACTGATTGACAGATGGGCAGAATATTACTGCGTATACTTCAAATTATATGAATAAACACTACTGAACCTATTGGTTGACCTAAGACCTAAATCCTGATGGTTTTGCTATCAGAAAACTCTCCAGTGAGCCCTCCTCATGACTTAGGACTACAGTCCAAGCCTCCAGAAAACATTTAGATATGAAGTCACACAAACTCAAATCCCTCAATAGGAAAAACATATTCCTTTGCTCACTTCCCAACAGAGAGGTAACACAGGACACTTTTAACTCAGAAGCTGACTTTTGGTAGGGGCCTTCATTATATATTCAAAAAAATTATAGTAATATTGGGCAAATATAAGAAACATCTACCTAGAACTACAACAACAACTTTTCTGGCAACATAAAATCTTGAACCTTCACCAGTCAGAAATTGCCAGTGGACTATTGTTTCTATGAGCCCCAACAGACCAACTCTCACAGAGTTCTCCAAGCATTTCCATACTTTCTGGTTTTCCCATCATCTTGTGGCAGTAAGTTCCTTGAGGTCTCCTTTTTTTTGAGTTTACTGCTTGATAGGCAAAAAAAAAAAAAAAAAAAAAAAAAAAAAAAAAAAAAAAAAAGACAATTCCTCATATAATGAAAAGCATTGAGTAACTGTTCTATCACCTAGACACTCAAAATGGTCTGGCTATCCACCACAAAAACTTACTCACTCATAAGCCAGCTGTTTTCCAGTAGGAAAACAGTGTCTTCCTTCTATTTAGTGCCTCCCCACATCTAAGTCTTTTCAAGTCTCTGCTGGTCTGGTTGCCTGCTATTTGCCTTTTCCAATTTGACTGGTATCTTTCTGAAGTTACACACTGATGTAGCGATATTTTCCATTTTGTTCTTTGTAGACTTCATGATGAGGGCTCTCATGGAGACAGAATGCTGACTGCAGCAAACCATCAGGTCCTTCTTTTGGTGGCAACACTAGCTCAAAGTCCAGCATTGTATTTGATAGAGTTCTCATTGTTTCCCGCTCTCCAGCATTCCTTCATATCTATTGGCACAGTCATTTAAACATTTTATCAGTCACTGTCTCCACTATGAAACCTTTATGTGAGTCCCAGCTATTCATTTTAGGGAGCTAAATCTGTATTAGCAGAAATGTTATTACTTGAGTATTTTCTGTTTTCCCTGATCAGAAAACACTGTCGGTCTGTAAGATTCTACCAGCAGCCTTCTTTATTCTGGAGCCTAGCCATTCATTCTTATTTTTCCTTCTGTCTTTTAACGAACACATAGTCTGCAGGAAGAGGTCTGTAAGACTTCTTGGTGAAGACTCTTATTAACAGCATTTTGAAAAGCCAAGTATGTTGTATTAACCCGGATTTTCACTGTCTCCTTCAAAGAACTTTCTAATAGGTTTGTGAGGCATTGCTTCCCCTTGTAAACTACTTCATCTCTTCTTTATTGCATCATTCATTCCTATTTACCCATTAATCTATTCTTTGCTAGAATTTCTGCCTAAGAACTTCCTTCTTCTTCAAGGACTTCTTAAATAATTGATGTCATATGTGCCAAATTTCATTCCCCTCCACTTAGTAACTCAGCAACATCTTAGTTATGTTTATGTCTTGACGGAATACCATATGGTCACAATATTTCTAAGTTCTCTTATTAATGTCTTTTACTGAAGCTGTGGTCCACCAGTAAAGCAAATCCAGCACTAGGGACACTAGCATCAGACCAAAAAATTAACAGCCACATGAATACCAGTCCAAATGCATTCACAGAATTTCGGTTGTCTTTGAACTGGCAGTCTCTATGTCATATGATGTATCATTTATCTTTTATTGTACTGCAGAAAACCAGCATAAACTGCAAGTTGCATATGTTTATTAAATGAAGAGAAAGATTCACCTCCCCATATTTGAACCAGATGAAACTTGCACTCACAAATGATCTGCTAGTGTGCATTGATAATGACAGCCTGACACTTCATTTAGGGTTAATTTCCTTTAAAAATATGCTTAAAAAACTCAAACCTTCATTTTACATGGCTTCAAAAGTGATTACGTCAACTCATGGGAGGACAAAGGAGCGCTCACCAGGACTCACTGCAGATCACTGGAATCTGCTACCACATAGCATTCAAATGCCTCAGCAGGCCACCCAGAGTTTATTCTTCTTCAGGCATGTGCTAATGTTCACAGCTGGATTCAGACACTAAGCAAGAGAGAAATTGTTTGATCTACTACCACTAATCTGATATGGTATTTAAGTTTTACTTGTCCCAATAAAATATTTTTTACTCCAAAAGAATATTCCAGTTTCACTCCTCCAAAACTCATTTATATCTCATCTCCTAGTTATATCTCATTGCCCTCCACATCAGAATACATAACAACATCCTGTGAACATCAGATCATGTTCTGTGGTACCTTAGGATCTCTCCATGAACAAGCTTAGTGGAAAAAAAAGAGATCAAAGAGGCTAAAGACGAGTATAAGGAGTTAATATGCAAAGGCCAGGACAAGGAAGGAAGTGAGGAGAACAGTGCTAGAAAGCCCCTGCTTTCTAGTCCTCCATGCCTTGGAGAGCCATGGGAACACACAGTTATTACGAGATCAAATTCTTCTGGATACTTAAAATATATATATGTTTTATTTTGTCTTTTTAATCTACACACAGAATTAAGACAATGTCCCCATGAATACAGCTAACCAAAACACTTGAAAGTTGAATCAAAGACTGCGAGGTTATTAGTTAATAATATTCTACCTCTGGGTTTTGTTTTTGGGCAAAGTATCTCAGTTGGAGATGGGATTTTTTTGTTGTTGTTGTGGGTTGTTTTAAGAAATCTGTGGAATTTCAAATTTGTCTTTGGAAACCTTTTGTCCTTTTCTCTTTACACAGAAAATACTACGCCACAACAGAATTCCAAGTAGTCACGCCTACCGAATATACATGCAGTCATACTGCTGTTGGAATGAGATGCACTTACCAGAATAGAACACATACTTGGAAAGTGCTAAAAGTGCCTCTCTGTATAATACCAAAAAGATTAGAAATGCAGACCTAAGGCTGTCCTGAGTCACTGTAGTGCTGTCCCTGCATTTACACTGTAGTAGGAAAAAATATCATGTGCCATACACACACATATGCATATTACATATGCTTGTTATATGCACCTCAAAAGAGTTTCTTTCAACAACATAAGAAAAGGCAAAAGGGCTTTACACTGTTTCATCTACATTTCCTGGAATTACAGGTATCTCAAATGTGATTATGAAAATATTTGTAGTGTAGCACATTATGCTTTCTTTCTGTTCCTTAACACAGTGATAATTTGCTAAGTTGCCAAAAGAAGTAAATATATTAATCACTAATAGGATTCAAGTGTCCATTTATATAAATTTATTTTGAGTTTGGGGTGCAGGGGGACAAAAAGAGAGAAATCTACATAAGAAACATCATTTAGCAAATAGAACCTGCAAAAAGCCTGAACCATTCAAATGGTTTATGAAGACACTATAGTCTATGGAAGTGAAGAAAATACTGATAAATCAGTGATTTACATTACATTTTATCAATGACCTTACAAATAAGTTTTGCTCTGTGCTCTGGTGGGATTAAGATAAAACGAATGATAAGCAGCTCTAGAGAAACGGATTCATTTCAATATGGTACACTTGTGTTTCAGTGATTAGCAAAGCAGTATCAGGGAATCCTTCATTACCACTAACATGATGAATCAATAACTTTTACTATGGCATTAAAAAAATGCACCTACCTTCATAGTTAAAAAAAAAAAAAATTCCTAGTCCCAGTTAATTGTTGTTACTCTCTCTCAAAAATGCCAATGGAACTTCATTGCTACACAGAAAAACTGTGTCAAATTAGAGAATTTATCCATTGAGACAGAAAAAGTTGTAACTGCAATTAGATGCCAAGATCAGGAATGTACTTGCCACTTACATCGTTTTAAAGAAACGATATACAATCTACAGAATTAGTAAGTGCAGTAACTCATTTCTAGCCTATGCAAGCCTGATTATCACCAATTGAAGAATGTATTTTAAGTTTTCATACTGAGAGAATTTACTGCATCTTCCTTAACAGGTTGAACAAATGTTCTGATAAGAAACCAGTTGATTGCAACATGGAATGTACACAACAAAATAAATTATCAAAAGGGACACACATTCCTTAGACCTCACAGAAACACACAGGGTAGCATGTCAATAGTATGCTCTGTAGTTTTTGGGACAGAACTATGGAGCCAAATAAAATATAAACTTACTTTTTTTCTGATCCATTTTTTGTGACACAGATGGACGGGTAGGACTTAATATTGGCAGAGTGCTCATCCTCTCTGTGTTGTTAAAAGAAGCATCTGTAGACCACAACATCATCTTCTCTGTAGTGGCAAACAGGTGGGTGTTGTCTTCAGAGCCCTCTGCCAAAGCAGCTTCAGAGGCAGGCTGACGACTGAGCACTGTGGCTTGAGTTGGGGGACCAAAGGAATTTTCCTGGAAAGACTCTCTAAATATATTTGAGTTGTTGTTCATTTGGTCAATGTGGGATAAAGGCGTGGTGGTCCAAGAAGAGGGCTGTGTGCTGAGATCCACTGTGGGATCAGTCTCGGAACTATTTTCAACCATATTTGGCAAAAGATCAGGAGACGTTTCAAAGTCACCTGTGAGGCCCTCACTTCCATTTGAATAAAAGCATGTTTTTTCTAACACTCCTGCAATAAAGGAAAAAAAACACCAAAATTACCATCACCTGGAAGAGTGTTACCAATTTGTTTTTGAAAGTTAATACTAAATAAAATTATATAATTAAAGTATTTTAATATTAAAATTAAAGACAAATTTAAGAATTCTATCTAGCAACAAAATAACAGAAGCACATAAAACACGGTTGTTGTAGGATAAATAGAGAAACAAATGCTTCTATGTGCTTGAAATATTTTAATCGTATTTATAGTATGTCACTGAATACTTACATGTTTAAAACTACAGAGTGCAATTTCAAGGAGCTTCAACATGCATTCATTCTATCATTATGTTAATAAGATGGACAATGCTATTTTTTATCGTTTTAAATTGCATCATCTCTTGTTTTCATAGCACCACCATCTTCCAAAGTCCAATTCTGAAGCTTTAAGGCAATCAATACATTTTTAACATATTCCATATTCACTCATTTTTAAAATGGAAAGAGGTACTATTTTCTCTATATAAGATTATGTAATTTAACTACCATTGCTAAATATGGGCCCCTGAGTTGTCATTCTTCTCTGATATTGAATTTTAAATATATAGTTATTGTCTAAAATTTCAGTCCCTGGCTTTATTTTTTGATCATTTTATTATATTAGAGACAAAACCAAACTTTTCTTAGCTGCATGCATTCAGTAGTTGCAAGTAATTATAATTCACAAATCAAAACAGTAAGTACATGTATCCCACAAGCATCAGGAATTTAAACTACATAGTAAGATAATTGATCTTTAACCTAGTAATCCAAATAATAAAGAAGACATCTTAAACATGTGTTGAACATATAACTTATTTATCTATAATAGAAATGACAAATATTATCTCAAATTCTTTAACCAAATGTATTAAAGTCATATTTAATGCTACAAGAGAAGTACCATTCTGTATTACAATAGAAGAAATTTTTCAGTAAATAGCAAAAGCAATTTTTGACACTGGCGGTTAAAAGAGCTTAACAATCATAAAGACACAGTTCATCTAGAGATTATTAAAAAAAAATAAAAGGAATCATCCTGAGCCCATTCCCATTATTGAATTCCTATTCTCACTTCTCTGTGAACTCTGCTGCTAAAATAAATCAGTTAACTGGTCTGAAATTCAGGGACTGGGCAGGCAGAAATGTTTATTAATCACAGCTACAAGTAACCAAAAATGCCAGAAGACTCTAACTGAAGTGACTTTGGGTTGGAAAGCTTTAGAGTTAGTTAAGGGAGAAAAGACAACTGGAATAGAAGAAGGAGAAATGTCAGCATTTTCTTTTTTAATGAGTAACCTTTAACTATTGCAAATGCAAATAGTAAAAAAATACAGTGAGTTTCAATTAAACAGTTACCATTTGAGATTTACCATATCCTCACTTATCCAGGCTGGATTGTTTTGGTTTGGCTCCAGTGTCACTAACTGAGTAAATCTTTATGTCAAACTTCTACTGGACAAACCCAGGGGAACTTTATATATATAAATATATATATATAAATACTAGGGTTTCTGGTTTTCCACCAGCAGATGTTCATATATCATTGGGGCTTGGAGGAATTTACTGTGTGTATTTTACAGAAGCAACCAAAAATCTCCCACCTGCAAATGATTTAAGCAGCATTTTTTTTTTGTTTGAGTCCTCTGGTCAAACAAAACAGTAAGTGCATTTTCACAAAAAGGGACTAATATTAATATGATTTGCTAAAGTTTAAGGAAGAGCAAGTGGTTGTGCTCAGAAGTTGGGCTCACTAAAATGTGGCTTTATTTGGATGCCAGATATTTGTGTTCAAACAAAGCACTGAATCTCTAGAATTTGGAACCTTACTTTGTTTCAAGTTTCAAACTTTACTAGGCTTTTTTTGCCGTTCTCAGTAAGTTAAAATAAGCTTTTTAAACTCCCTTGGGAAAGTGCATAGTATTTTTCCATAATTCAAGAACAGCTTAAGGTATTTTTTCACATGCTCTCTCCTCCTCCCTAGACTCATCTCTTCCACTCAGCATAAAAATAGAAAAAGGCGGTAAAATGTTGGTCCCAAAGAGCTATTAATACTGATTTGAAATTAAAGTTTAAATCATTAGCTATTTATGTATCACTCAGCAGAATAAGAGACAATACATTACAAGACAGGTAAACTCTTGAAAAATGTTTGAAAACCCCCTTTGGTTTAATACAGTGGTCAAATAAATACTGTGAAACAAAATATTGAGGCTACCCACTGGATTCTATCGTCTTCTCACTCTGACTAATTTCATTATTTTTCTGGAACAACAAATAATAACAACTATGTCTATCACTGCCATGAGGTGATTTACTTCTTTCACTGAGATCCCCAAATGCTTGTTTGCTTCTTCAACCCATCTTTCCAACAACAGCATTTTTTGTTACATTTTTACAGTTTCCTAGTGATAACAACTCTTAACAGGGGAACCACACAACGAACCTCTTTGACAGAAAAGAACTTCCTAATTGTATCATCTCCACTGACAATGAGCAGTATTAAAATTATTTTTAACATTTTTTCCCTCCAAAGTAACATCAGCCTGGCTCAGGTCCATACGCCCTCGAGGGAGGCAGGCGTAGGCCTCTGGCATTCCCCACTTGTTAGCTCTAGATGACAGCTCTCTTTCCACTCAGTTTGTAAAGAGTTTTAGGGCACCTTTTTGAGTCACCTCTTTCTTCTCCCACATTCTCCTCCTATCCTTTCCTTTAACCAATGCACCATATTTAGGCACTTTATTCTAGGCTGCAGAATTTACTCTTTGCACTGGGCTCCCACTTGCCTTAATTTTCATCCACGCCCCTACCCTTCCCCTAAAAACACTACTGCATATCTTCAATCTTAAATTAAGCTTACTAGATATGTTTTTATAGCATCTGTATTTAAATTTCAAGATATGTATGAAAACAGAGTGATGCTTTCAACCAATCAGTTCTTTATTAATCTCTTCAGTGAAATTAATTACTCTCTATCAATGTTTGCTAACAGAGATGCAGCACATACAGAACATGCATTTTATTCATGCATACAGTCACACTATATCCAACTATTCTTCAGACTGGGTTCATACAGACCTGTAGATAGTCATAGGCCAGATAGTTAATGAGTTAACAAATACATGTAACCATTTTCAGTTTGTGTCTCCAGCCACAGCTAGGCATGTCCAGATGACAGAAACATACAGTATGCAGGCCTTCATTGTGTTTGGTACAAAATAGACCTACTGGGACCAGACACATTCATTTCAAAGCAACACTTTCTAGCAGTTTTAATGATCATTTCCAGTTGCTGTTCACTCTGGGGAATTAATGTTTTGTTTAAATATGAACAGGTTTTTAAAAAATGAGAGTTTTCTTAAAAATGAACAGTTAAGAGATTAAAGAAATAGTCACACTGTTCAAGCTAGTAAGATGAGATTCTGGCAGTGTAAACTGTGGAAGATTTCTAGCTCTTCAGAGCAGGAAAGCTCAAAGAGACCAAGTCTGTTTAAAAGCTAATGAAACGGAGCAAAGCAGCCTAACAAAGTATGGGGCAGTTGCAAAAGGAAATAAAGCTGTTCACTAGTACAGCTGGACAGCACATACAAACTGAGATTTCTCCTGCAGGGTCTGTACCCATGACTCTGCACTCTGGAGAAATGGGCACATTACTGATACTATGAAGATCTCATAGAACACCAAACTATTGCACATCAGTTAAACTGCAGTCATTTATTTCCTTCTTTTTCTTTCTCTCTTTCTTTCTCTCTCTTTTTCTCCTTTCCTTTCCCCTGCCCCCCCTGCCCTCCCTCCTATCAAATAATTTCTTTTAGCCCCTCAATACTCTCAACTTATTTCTTACATGGTAAGACTTCATACCAATATCAGAGTTCAGTTATTACTGACCTGAAATGAACATGAAGTACTATTTTAAATATAGTGTATTGTTAGTTAGTATAACAGACTATATTCTTTTACACGCAATTTAAATGTCCACAGTATTAGTTCATCTGATTCTGGCCATCAAATATATTTGCTTCTAGACTATCAGTGCATAGAAAATGAAAGCTGCTGAGAAGAGCAGTAAATTACAAAATGTTAATTCAAAAGCTGCTTCTAAAGGGACCTTTGCCAGTTTTAGACTTGGGTTAACACCAAGCCTTATTCTTTACCCTACAGTAATGACGTTGACTTAAGAGGAGATAGTCACGATTTTCGCTATGTAAGTGGGATCAGAACAGGCCCCATTTCCCAGAGGATTTCACACAATGACAGGTCAATATATGCCTGAGGAAGAGATTGAGTAGAGCTGATGTAAATGCACCTGACTTTTTATCTGCTTTCTCACCAAAGAATGAAAATCTAGGGCAGAGGATATGAAAGATACAAATGGAATGCTAAACATAAGGAAAGCCAATTTAACGGCTTCATATTTCCTAATTGCAAGACTTACTTGCTCTTAATCCATTTCAGACTGTTCTTAGTTCAAAGATATAACCCAAGACTTACCTGTCAGTCATAACATTCACTAGCTTTGGGGGTTTTCTTACTTCCTTAACTTAAACTAAATTAAAAGAACAGGCCTACAATGTTGTGTTGCATATCCTTTACAGACTGAATTGAGAGAACAGATTTAAATTGTCCTGATTTTGACAGTGCTTTTGAGACATCTTTAGTTTCCTCCTAGGCTTCCCGTTTGACTGTTAGATGTGTATTGAAATTGGAGTGTTTAAAATAGGAAAATGGATTTATATCTATATATCTGGATACTGGATACATTACCCCACTTATTTCAGATGTGCTTCTGAAGTACCTAAGGAAGCTCAATTAGAAAATGTTCTCACTAACAAAAAGAAAAATGAAAAAAACCCAAAAACACTTAGCACTGAAAGCAGTTTTTTTAACCTTTTTTTTTCCTGAAAAAATAACTTTAACCTAGTTTTATTGTCCTTTTCATTTTGTACTTGAAGCAATTTAATGATATGTCAGCTTTTCTAAAAGTAACAAAGGGAAGACTTTTTTTAAAAAATATGCTAATAAATTAGCACTTTTTAATTATGAAAATTACTTCACAGACTCAGCCATTATGAAATCTATTAATACCTTGAACCAGTTTCCACAAAACATATTTGGAGTTCTGCATTGATACATATCTTGTATGTAAAAGAAATGAACATAATTTTCCTTAGTTAAATAGTTAATATTTTGTATGCTATTCAGAAAAAGTTGTGGCTATTTATAAATTAAATTTCACCTGAAAATAAGAATTGGATTTGCATATGAACGTGTGACATAAACAGATATATATTCCATTCTACTGATAGTGATCTAAAATTATAGCAAATGTATCTTTTGTACTTGTAAAATGGCTGCTGAAAACTATCTAACATGTTCAAGATAATGTGTTCCCCAAAAATCTACCTTAAGAAAACCAGAAAGGTTTCCTCATGGACACTTTAAATACATTTGAAGGATACAAATCTAAATAGCAGACTTACTTCTCTGCAACAAACAATGACTAGGTAGATTCGTTTTTTAGGTACGTGTGCTAACGTACATGTCTAATGTCTACAGTTATACCAGCACTTGAGAACGTGGACTTAGTTTAGTCTCTTTAATTTAAGAAGTGTCTCCTTAATTAAAGAAGCACTCACCTACAAAGGTAAGCAGGATCACCAGCAAAAGGATAAGGGCACAGATGCATGGGATCAGTATCAGGAGCAAAAGTCGAAGGAACTTGGCAGAAGCCAGTTTCTGAGAGCAACCATCCCCCATATCATCCTCATCTGTTCCTAAGACCTGAAAAACAAAAATGCAGTTTTATCATGCTGGGGACCATCAGTAATTCCTTTGTTTTCAATAGCAGTCCTCCCTCCCTATTACACAGCTACATGATTTAAATATATGCTGTATATAGCTAATAGATTCTTAAAGACATGTCGTATGTAAACTTTTCTTTCTGGTGGACAGTCTAGCGCAATCCATATCATTTATTAAACTTTACTCAATATCCACAGACTTATAGCGTCATTGAAATTTCTAAGCATTTCTGATTAACTGGATATTGAATAGGTATTTTATTTGAAAAAAAAAATGTACCATATATAATAAATTTAAGGAATAAGGCTAAATGAAGATAATTTTACAATTAAAAATAATCCATTACTAAATATTCAAGAGCTCCATGTTCTTGTTTCTTTTATTAAAGAATCAACATACTATTATAACCTTTAAGTGACAATAGAAGACTTATTATGCACAGTAATGATGTCTGATTTTTTTAAGTACTTTATATAATTATAACTTAACACAGTATTCTCTAGAGTTTGCAAATCACATTTTCTGTTCTATGAGTGGAATACAAAAGAATAGAGAAAAAACAAGTTTCTGAATTCAACTGAGCTGCACAAAGTACATAAATTCAAACCCTTGCAAAAGCCTAAACATGCATTTTATATTTTTTAAACCTTACTCCATTAATACTATGATCATATATACTGGAGAAATGTCATAGTTTTTAAACAGAAATAAAAACAAAATTCCAAATTAATATTTAATAGCAAGATTGAAACTGTATATAGTCAATGCCCCTTTATTTGAAATTGACCAAAAAATAAAATCTTCCCTGTGATAACATGAAACTGGATGATAGGTTTATTCATTCCAGACAGTGTCTTCCCAAAAGATGACCAATAGTTTATCCTCTTTGTCAGGAAGATCAATCACATCAAAGTTGGTTGTGCCAGGACACAAGAGTAAAGGCATCCATTACCCTGACAGCCTCTCCCCAAAGAACCTCAAGAGACTGAAGTCTACAACATAAATAATATTAGTCTTGTAAATGCCAGCCTGTGTTAGGCCCCCTTGTGAGTTCTGAGCACAGGTAACAGAGGAATAACACAACTCTGCTTTGAAGACAGATCTCCCAAAACACTGCCATATTTACTTCTGAAAGCACAGACAACGATGCAGTAGATGCAGTGTTCCCACAGGAAACGAGGCAATTGAGTTCAACACCCTCTTTTGCTTGAAGCAGTTAAAAAATCAAATCTACAACAGAGCAGACTATTATAACCACATGAACACAGACTCCTCTTGAATCAGAGCATGCCATGCCTTGAAATAATGATATCCTGTAAAAAAGAACCTGGTTCTTCTGGGCCAGACAACAAGTAGCAGGACCATCACTACACAGCCCAGTGATCAAGGCACTCAAGAGCTGATTCTTAGTTTCTTCAAGACAAATTTTAGATCCAGCACATTTTCCTAAAGAAATCACTCCCAACCAAGATGCACTTCTTGCCAAGTTCCAAGCAGAAATGTCTAACTCTACCCAGTGTAATACAAAGTAAATTCTGACCTGTGACTCCACAAGGAGTTTGTCTTAGGAGTAAAAACTTAGCAAGAAAGAACAAAATTTTTGTTCTCAAATATTTGAAAAAACATTCAGAAATAGTATCCATCCTCATTTTTTGACTCTTTATTCTGGAGGTACATGAGAAATCAATAATCTCAAGCACAAGTGCTTAACTGACAGTAGTTATCACTGCTGTCATATATATATATATATCTATATATATATATCTTAGAGTAAACCTAGCAGAAACATTAAATGAGTGCAAATTAAAACAGTGAGCTTCTGGTGGTGCTCTGTTTCTGTGAGAAATGTTTTCTAAAGTCTACTAGCATTGTAAATACTACTTACTTCACATAAATGTTCAATACTAAATGAGAACATCAAACATTTTCTTTCTTGTCTACTCCTAAAAGCAAAAAATCTCAATCTTTGTATTGACAACTCACTGCCACAGATTTTAAAATGGGCTGTTGTATCCAAATTTACTGTCAGTGAGCGCTCAAGAAAAGGATGCTGTATTGTTAAAGACATACTTCTCTAAGCACCATGAATTGCTTGCTCTGTAGAACAGCAAAGTAAATATTTATAGGCAAGTAAACAGTATGTTGTATTTTTCCCTTCTACAGGAAAAGACCTCAGGAAAAACAATACACCTGTTTAATCATCGTCAGTGACTATGTAAGCATAAACTTAATTTTTCCAGTTTTACTATTTTCCATCACTTCAACATCTACATTAGTTTTTTTTCTGACAGTTTCTCTGATGAATATGAACTAAAACTAGAGACAGTGTTGCTGGTTCCTATATCAACAATGAGAATTTAATAAAGTGTCCTATAGATAAATATAAATGCATTACACCTACTGTTTGCATATTCCCTGATAGTATTTCTTTTTCTCTTGCCACCAAATACTGCAATATACAAAGAAAGCACCAGCTTGAAGTGCTCTAGCATGACAATTGTATCTGCATAAACTGCAGATGTGCTCTGTTCCCTGAGTTCTAATAAATAATGGAATAGAGGAACAAATAATAGACTAAAGACATAAATAATGGAATCATCAGATAAAAATGGGCCTATGGAAGGAAACAGGGTTGCAAAATGCTTATTCCTTGGCTCACTTCAAGCTTCTAGGTTAGTGGCTGAGAGAAAAAAACGGTCTCCCTCAACTCTCTGTGTAGTTACGAGTTTCTCTGACTCGTTCTCTAAGTCTCTGAGTTATCTGGTAGATACATATTTATCTCCCTTTCCAAGGGAAGGACAAGAAGACTTAAAAGAGGAATCCTTGAGGGCCCACTGAAAGAAATCAGCCCTAAATGCTAAAGATTTAAGCATAAAATATATTTAGTCAAAAATCTATAGCGCTGGACTAAAATATATTCTCAATACTTGAAGAACACTGGTACAAGTTCTCTTCCAACTACTGTTGTTAGAAAACTCAATCTAAGAAATATTTTTCTTAATTAAATACTTTGTGCACTACAGTTAGGAAATATTGGTATTTGTTTTTTAAGGCAACAAGTCATTTGCTTTTAATACAAAGGTTTTGTACTTAACAAGAATATATTCAGAAGAGAGGAGGTCTAAAAACATCAGATAATTTCTTCTGACAGCTAAGAAGTTTTGTCTCTAATGAAATTATATTAACCACTGCTTACCTGAGTGGCATTCTTTTGGTAATGACTTCAATAAAGGAAATAGACTAAACAGAATTTCTGAACTAATTTCAGGGTGTATTTTTAAAAAATTCTATGTTTATCTAGAACTGCTGGATCAGACTGCTCAGTTTATTTTCTGGAACCACAGAGGGAGGAAAAAAGTAAGATGGAAAAGCGTGTGTAGTCCCATCTGACTACAAAAAGACTAAAAATTCATTGGACCAAAATTCACAGCTTATTTTCTGCAAGATGTAGAAAGAATATGATCTCATAGCTGTCATTTCAATAATATACCTGTCATATTAAAGCAGAGAAATGACAGATTACATTAAGATTTATGGGTGAAAAGCCTATGGCAGCATGCAATTTTCATGTTAGATACTAAAAGTATCTCAGTTACTAGTCTATAAAACAGCCTGAATCATGGTATAAGCAGTCGACAAAAATATCTCCTGCTGTTGTCACCACAGAACTAATAGATGTTCTCCCAATAAAGAAGTATCATTAGGGCTAATTGCCTACTGTCAGTATCTTCTGTGCATGATGGGTCTCTACACAGAAATGTAGAAGACACCTCTTAGATCAGAAACATTAATGTATCTTCAGGAAACTATACACCAAAGCATTATTTAGTGTTTGTAATGGAAAGAAATGGAAGGAAGTACTACCATGAAATGCAGAAATAATGTCAGGGGGCAGTAAACAGGAGCCCTCATAATGCCATTGTCCTCAGAAGTCCTCATAATGCCATTGAGGAATCTATTATCCAGCCAAGCAATAATTATGTAAAACTGTGAAAATTATCTGCAGCTCTTTCCGTATCCTTGATACTGTTCCTCTTCTAATGCTGAAGCAGTGCTCAGTTGTCAGCTCTTGTGATTTCATCTGCTTTTATGATGCTACTCTTAAATCTCTAGATACTGGACTGACACAACTATACCAGCCATTACAGCTTTCTCTTTGCCATTAGAGGAAGATGGCTCCCACCTGTTACGGCTACAGAGCAAAAACTGACCTTGTGAAGTGGCAATGTTTAAGCACAGAACACCACATATAAATATATAAATTTAACCATGCTCATTCTTACAGCCTTTTCTGATCAACTCATAATATTCAAAGGCCTGGTAATGAGTAAGAGAAGCTGAAAATGCGCTACATTTTTTTATTCATTTTGTCCTGTTTACATGAATACTAGGAGTCAGCAATGCACCTCCATTAGATTACTTTATTGTAAAAAAATTCTAGTATACACAAATTGAAGAACAGTAACATCATAGTTATTCTAAAAGTAAATAGTGCCATTTGCAAAGCAGCAAAAAAAAATCACAAATCCAAAGACCTTTTCATAAAGAAGGCAGGAAAAAACCCAACCAACACTTTTCATACAGCAAGTCAGCAAACATAAAAAGCATGTTATTACCACAACTTGTTATTTGCCAATAAAATACTCTATTTTGCTGATAGTTCAAGTTCACTGTAATCTTGTAACTTCTCCCAGGGAATTCCATATCCTCATACAAAATACAAATTGCTGACATAATTAATTAGAAGTTCATTTTGACGATCAGACCTCCTTTTTCTTCCATGAAATTAGTCAATCCAAAATATACAGTATCCTACTAAGGGAGATATTATATAAAGCTGGGCATTATCTTTCCAAAATAAGTATTTGGTTGGTGCTAGACGCCAGATTATTTTGTTTGAGGCATAAACCTGAAACACATTTAATCTTCCTGATGTATATTTTCACTTAAATAAGTATAACTGTGTCAGTGATGATTCA